TGCCAAATAGCAAGTTGATGGATTGAGGTACATTTGACACGAGTCAGCGTTAGTGTATGCTCCCAGTCGAGCATGCAAGGATGTAGCGCCGAGAACATTACGCGCAAGCGACAATGCGAATGCGGAGCTGCGATTTTGAACCCTTTAGGCCTTTGAACTGACTTAGAGATGAACGATGGCCTGGTCCACCAAATGTACTTTACGACGTCCACTTTTGACGAATGGCGAATGCGCGTTTTGTGGAACTATTCTTGAACACGGCGCGGCAAACTTGATGGAAATGTTTGCCAATGAGAAACGCTGAAATGTTTTTTTTGACAAAAGTACCCTTTTGAGAAACAATTGGAAATGATGTAGTGACAGGGTCAATAATGGCTATTTGCGAGTCAAAGAGGGGTGGTCCGAATGTTGGTATTGCGTGAATCGACCATTGACAAAGGTCGAGGACTGTTGCGAACGAAGAGTCGTCTTGGATTTGACACTAGGACGGACTCTATCTACGGCAGGTATAGACTGTCGACGTCGAATTGCGCACAGGAATCGTTGGATTCACATGCATGTTACGTGAAGACGATCTGGCCGTCCGATATGATTTTTTTTGGATGGCCTTTGAAGAGACGTAGCTCCTAATGCAGCGTTGCCAGCGTATAAGTTAATACGCTCCATTTCCTTAGACAGTTAACTGCGATGGAACCGTTGATGAACTTTTCATAGCAGCAAGCATAAGCGGCAATATGGTGACCACAAGTAATAACCGGAAAATGCCTAACTTGCCTAGTGACGACGAAAGGAACTTTTTGTTGCGCTAGGAAGTACATAGCATCCCACAAGGTTGGAATAGGGCGCTATTGCGGCATCCGGTCGGATGGAACGATGCGGTTGTATGCGCAAGAAAAACTTGACTGCTTGGCAACAAGGTAGGTCCTCAGTGGAAGCAATCGCTGAGACTGGGCCCTTGTCTCGTACGATGCTTCGACGACTGCGCATGTTTTGTTGTTTGAAAGGACTCCTTGTGAGCCATGTGATGAGGAAAGTAGTGAGAACGGTGACCATCAAGAAGTGATTGTACAACTTCCTCAACATAGGCTGCGCTCGATGGTTGATGGTGGTGACGCATCACTTCCGAATTAACGTATTGCTGTGAAATGCTAGCATTAAGTAGCTAACTGATACTGCGCTTACTGCCTGGTCTCTAACATTACGATAGCCGATTTTAAATAAACTTAGCTGCAAGAAAAAACCAGTGATGAATTTGAGAAGATGCGGACTGGTTGAATAGGAGCGATAAGCTCTTAATCTGCGTTTGAGTGACAGCTTACTACGCATCTAGCAAATTGAATAGATAGAGTAGTTCCTGCTGGCATCACCGTCTGCGTCGGATATTTTATGTACATCGCCGGTTACTGGGCTCTTCGGATTCCCGAATGGAAAACCGAATTTCCCAAACTCGACGGTACCGAACTTGTGCTTGTCAGTACCGTGCCCGCTGGCAAACCATCAGGTTCCTCATGAGAGTCTCCTGTGGTTAAAGTCCAGCGACCACGTCTGACATCACCGTGAACGACGTATGACTAGATGAGGCTAGCAGGTAAGGTTTTCTAATGAAGTTGAGTTTATTGAGACTACGATATTGGGTGATAATATCTAATAATAGATTAAATTAGGGTTTGCGCATTGAAAACAAATTGACGTCGATTATGCCTACACTTTAGTAGTGTTAAGCGTACGAAGGTGGAAGGAGTGCGCTTTAGAACTTGGCCTCGACTGCCCTCAATATGTATTAGTTTGACTACTGCGCATTGGGTATTAGATGACCGGCAAGAAAAAACTGAATTACCCTGACTCTGCTGTGCCGTAAGGTAAAACATTTCCTAGAAGATTCTAGGAAAAACGTAACTGCGCTGGCTGGTTGGTGTTAAGAGATGTTGATTACGAGGTCGTCTCCGACTTCCTTCTTCGAGACTCGCGCGTCCCGCTCTTGATGGACAAGTGCCGTTGTTCCTTGTGCGTAGGCTCCCGAAGCATACGCAAATTTCTACCCGGTTCGTGTGAAGCGTGTGTTGTTCTGGTCGCTTCATTAGCTGTCGACTTCTTGATCCAGAAACCTGCGTATGAAACCGAGACGTTCGTTGTTCTTATTGCAGAACACGTAGTACTGCGCGTAAAGAGCCTGTTGATGACCATCAGGAGTTAACGGTTATCGATAAACGACGAAGATTCGCAGATGTACGATGCGATGAAGCCCTGCGATGGCGTACTTTTTGTTATTTTTTGTGCAGCTAACGCTTTCGTTGCACTGTATTTGCGCACATGTGCTACTAGTTGACGTGATTGACTGCTGCGTTGAAGGTGGTTACTTCCTAAGTCGAACCTGAGACGGGGAAAATGAGAAGATGCCGTGAGAAGGCTCTGGCCAGGAGCCTTCTCACCTCCGAGGGTCAACTGCGGATGAGCGACGTAGATCTGTGACGTCCGACTGTGAGTAGGTGAACGTTGAACGAGGATAGCAGTTGTCATGAATTGCGACAAGTGCACGACACAATGATGTTACTATCGTACTCCTGGAGACACAACCGAGACGGTTACCTGGAACTGCGCGGACAGTTCTAATCGAGGTCCTACAGACGCCTACGGACCGAAGATGCGGCCTGAATACAAGTGAAGATCCCGTGCGGACGATCCCGGACAGCGTTTCCTGCAGCTGCTACGGGCCTGGGCAACCAGGTCGCATGAGGGACGTTTCTCCCATCCGGTCCTTAGGGTCTCCCTCCATGCGATTTTGCCCTGGTGCACCCCCCGGTGCCTCGCACGCATTGCTTGCTCCCTGTAAACAGAAGGGTAATTCTCCCGCTCCCTAGCTCGCGAGTTAGTACCGATACGTCGTGTGGCTGCGGGTGCCACTCCCGGTCCACAACACCCGTACCGGCCTCTAGGTTGGTAAGATACGCCCCGTCGATGCTTCCTGCGTGGTCGTTCTGTAGGCTGCTCGGATCCGTCCGAAGAGTTCCATGGACGCGTCTGGCTGAAATCCTCCATTTTCTGACTTCTGCGCGTGACAAGGGCTCGATCACAAAGGCCAGACATGTGTTACCACATGCCCAACCTCAGCCCGATGCACCATGTCGCGACGCCGGTGCGGCAAGCCTGGGGCAAGACGTGACAAACTACGAACGTGGCTTGCAGCCCGGTGCCGTGATTTTGATGATGTACGGAGGGCACGCGCCTTTGCTCTGCCTGCCACGGTATCTGCGGTCCTCATCCTCCGTTGCCCCTATTCATTCCTTCCTGATGGAAGACCTCTGCGCTCAACCGAAGAAGACAACTGCGCTGAAACCCTTTTTACTTTCCCGTGATGTTGCCAATCCCTGCGCTTGTAACCACCCTTGACATTGTTGATTAAGCTATGATGACGTTGTCATCGACAACGACAGTAATCAATAAATATTGATCTCTATGACAGAATAGCACATGTGAATGAAGGAAACGATATTTGACAAGTGCGCTTACTACTGCGCTTACTCTTGCTACACAACAAAACACAAAGTAAAAGAATTGGCTTTTCCCTCCCCCCCCCCCCCCCCCCCCCCCCCCCCCCCCCCCCCCCCCCCCCCCCCCCCCCCCCCCCCCCCCCCCCCCCCCCCCCCCCCCCCCCCCCCCCCCCCCCCCCCCCCCCCCCCCCCCCCCCCCCCCCCCCCCACGACCAAGCTGCGAAACCTCGACCTTAAACCTACGGGATGGTCCTCACCTCATTAGGGGTCATCGGTGCTTCGAGCCCCTTCACTCGTGTGCTGCGCGTTAGCCGGGGTGCGTTCGTCACGTCCGGGCGCGGAGCACAGAGGAGTGAAGGTTCCTGTCTTCCATACCACAGATCCTTGTCCAAGGTGTCCATTCCATGAAGTGCGCTGCGCCCCAAGGGTCGTCCGGGGGACGGACGACGGCGCTCGTAGAACGTCTAGCGAATACCACTGCGTCCATTGTCTTCTGCGCTGGAGTGACAGCTGCGCTCGAGATGGAATCAGATGCGGGACAAAGGACGAGGGACGAAGGACGGCAGTACCATGCACTGCGATGACGGATAGGGATGATGATGGGGAACAACCGGGCAGGACGAAGGAAGAGACGACGACTCGCGATGACGACGAGGAGACGACTGAACTCGTAGAAACTTCCAGGCCCAAAAGTGGCGTGGGCCAATCCTTCCCTGCGCGTCGACTAGTGCGCGTGAAGACCCAGTGCGGACCCTGACGACTCGGCCCTTTAAGATGGCTAGTGGGCTGACTTGGCGTCGGATGTAGAGTGCGAACCGTGACGGCGTACAATATGCGTAGAAGTCGTACGAAAGTCACGACACCGTGTAACTAGAATTTTGGGAGCACGCTAGCGCCCGCACTACCATGAATTTATCTTCACATTCTCATTAATATTTACCCTGACAAAAATCAGTAGTTTTAAGTAACCAACAAAACTTTTCTACTCCATTCTGGAGAGACAAGGGCTGTTTAGAAATCTGCATAGAGTGCCCCATGCAAGATCCATGGATGTCGACGTGGTTATTCAAATGGTACAAGCAGAACATCCTTCACTACAGCGAACTGCCGCACGAGCAGGAAAGGACTGCGTCATCACAAGGCCTCCAGGAAATACATTATTCTCAGACCAGGTACTCACAACTTACTTCAAATATAATACACTCTCTGACATTTCACCAGCATTCGTGTGAAACTTCGCCAACGCGAACTGCCGGCGTTAAAAACAGCAGTTATTAAACAAAACTCTCTGAACACTTACAGACTCCAAATCACCCGTATTAGTTTGTCGCCCATATTCAATTCATTTATTTTTTCAACTCACCAATTCGTTCCCTGGAATGGGAAAAAATTGGTCAATTATATAAGCAAGCTTAAGAGGAAATGCAGAAGGACGCCTTCTACAGAGTCGTAAGTCCTAGTGAGTACTCTTGCCGTACCATACTGAGGTAGTAATGGCCAACGTGGCCTGATCTACCAGCTAAGGTTCTGCTTCAAATCGTGCAGCACGTCCATCACGATTCCGACATTCATACTGAGGAAGTTCATGCTTGTTTCGATAACTCCGAAAATATGTACCGAAGCTGCTTCATCGCTCAGATCCAATCGCAGACGTTCTTCCACCTGAAATACGCGAAGACTTCATACGACACCCATAGCGAGCTTAAAGACACATTTTGCGATCGCTTTTGGGGAGGGTTATTGCTTCCCAAAAATACATATTACATTCACGAAGGCAGTTACGTAGCTCTAGTATTGTGTTGTCCCAAAAGCATGAGCTTTTTTTTCAAAGAGATTCCTGCTAGATTCCCACAAGTTCCATTATGCTCAATTACCTTACGGAAGGAATTTGTCTCGGTCTACAAGAGAATAGAGCATAAACGAAGGTTGCGCATGACATATCATTCGATGATGAAGTGATAGGGTCAAAAAATTACAGTTTGAAAACGGCTGATGGCAAATATGACTTAACGGTGAACCAAGAAAAACCAAAATCAATCAGAAACAGGAGCAGGCTTTCTCGACAAACTATCAGCGGAATTTGACTTGTTTTGTTTGTTAACTGCTGTTTTAACGCCGCAGTTCGCGTTGCGAATGTTTCACAAGAATGCTGGGTTGTGAACAAAACTTTCGCCCCAGGCGGGACTAGAACCCGCACCTCTCGCTTTCCGGGCAAGTGCGCTACCAGTTACGCTACCGGGGCACCATTTCATTCCAACTCAGCTTTTCATGGTATACGTACCATAGCTTTCAGCACTCACACGTCTAACGTGTTGAGCCGGTTAGCCGATATCGGCAATGACCGCGAGGCTGAAAGCTTTAGCAATGAATTTTGACTTGTTTTGTTCCGCCTGGAGCTCGAAAGATTGGTCTCACAACCAGCATCGTTGAATATATCAGATCGAATCGTTCAATAAACCCGCGTTGCAAAATTGGCAATCACTTGCTCGAATTCGCTTCAGGGCAACTTATTAGAGCGAGGGCAAGTGTCGGTTTGGCTAATTTTCGCCGACTTGACCATTCGCAGGCCTGCAAAGGGTGCGGAAGGAAAACACACCATTTTGTAGGGCAGGCTAATCCCATCCAAATAGTATATGATTCGATTTGAAAACATGAAATCTTAGTAGAAAAATGGTTGCAGGGAAGCGACACTACTAGGACAACATATCAGTTCTGCTGATGAAGAGATTAGAACAAAAATGATAGGAACCATTAGAAGCACATTTCGCGATGATCGCATGGGTGGAAAAGCCCCTCCCCTCTCGTCCGTCTTCTGTGAGCTACTCCTCTTCGTAGTACCAAGAAAGTGGTCAACCATTGGATGTGCATAAATGCTACGGCCTTCTCATCCCACAAAATCAGTGTGCGACCTGTTATCAAGAGTACTTTGAAATTTTCTTCATTCTGCATTACTGGTCGACCAACCATCACATCTACTTTCATCTTTGGGTGCAATAACCCGTACCAAAAGCAGCTGTAACATTGCCTTTGCAGGCATATTGAACTTACTTTGAACACGGCTTTATCCCGCTCTTCGGAAATGTTGTGGATCAAGATCCAACATAGGGAGAACAGATTCAGGATGACGTTAGCATGGCGACGCAGTATGCGATAGGCCGAATCACAATGCATACAAAAGTGACGAAAGTGTTCGCTGAAAAAGGGCACCGTAATGCACATGAACTTGAACATGAAATTGAAATTGTTGTTGGCAACTTTGCGCCGAACTGAGGGGACGACTAGCAAATTGTCGAACAGGTCACTGAATCTTCATATGATCATGAAGTCAGGACCAGACCCAGCTGGGTTCATGAAAACAATGACAGTGTTCTGGAACAGTTGCTTATGGGGCTCTTGCCAGGTCTCCGCATACCATTTGGGGTCGTAAGACTCTGGAAAGGTACTTTACTTCCACTCCCAAGGATCGATGACATTATTTTCATCACGTCAGCTGGGTCTCTTTCTGCCTTCCCGAACAGATTAAAACATAATGGTCAGTTCAGTCACTTTGCTACCTCTCCCCTCTTGTACACAGAAAAATGGTATCCATACGTTCAAAACTCCCACCATAGCCTTCGAGAAGTCATTTAGTTGGTTCATTAATTAGTCAGTTGATTCAGCTTATGCTCCTCTCAGAGAGTTGAAGAGCAGATTGAAAGCAAAAAAGAGCACCTGCCGTATCCGAGATCACTACACGCGATACAAGCAGAAATATGAAATGATAGCCCAGCTAACACACCCTGCACTAATTTTACAACTGAGGCTGTTGAGCTTGCCCAAAATTTAGCAATCCGTGTGATAATTTGAAATGTGATTGCGGCAAAAAACAAACAAACGCGAAAGCATATAAAAAATCTAACATCAAAATAATACAAATAGTTGCATTTGATACTATTTCTGATCCTTCAGTGGTAGACTCTTCTAGGTCGAGAGGGAGATTTTATTCAGATTAAATCTTTGAAAAATACAATCACTCTTGATGCCACCCATCGCTTGAAGCATTTCGTTAGTCAGCTTCATCGGTGGTGGTAGCGGCTTGGGATCGCGTCCAAGAATAAACCCAAAGTCAACATGAAAAATGCGACCATTTC